ATGATAATTTAAAAATGATGGAGGAGAGATATAACTAAATGCAATTGAATAATTTTTGCCATGCTAGGTGGAACACATTTTGAATTAATTATATGCAGAATATGAAATATTACAATAATAAAGAGAATGACTTTAAAAAATTAAATAAGTACAATACTTTTTAACAAGTAACATATTATTTGCAAATAAATAAAATAGAAATAAAATCAAAACAAAACCTAATGTTGCAGGATTGTTACAGTTGGATGTGTCACAGCCTCTGTTCAAATTTTAAAATGTATCTCATCGATATTCAATGAGAAATGTTGCTATTACCAAATATATAAAACTACTGATTTGATTTTTTACAGCAACGGATCTAAAATTACAGATTTGATGCTAGTGGCCAGAGAACTGTAGTAAATTCTGGAACGTTTGAAAACTAGAAATGAATACCTTCCTATGAAAAAGGACTTGAGTAATTGATTGTCGTAAACTGCAAGACACGTGCCCATAGGTATATGATTAGGAGTGAGATTATCTTTTTTTTTTTTCAGTGTAGTGCCGAAAAGCCGCAGCCGTTGGACTCCAGGACCTCCCAGTCAGAGTCGCTGCAGGGGCAGCGGCAGAGCTGAGTCTGAACTAACCCCAGCAGGTTAACATAACACATTCTGGGAGGTCTCGAATGGGAGCGGTGGAATCCTCGTTGGCGAAGGGAAGAAACCCTTGCAAGTCAACGTGTAGATTGGCGGCGGGGCAGGAACATCGCCATCTCTCAGGATGTGAAGTGTAACGTATTAGCCAGCGTGCCTCATGGCATCTATTTGGGGACGCTCGGTAGAGGATTAGCCTAGCCACAGGAAGTAGGGTTTTTCCGTAAAGGGAAGAACGCGGAAACGGGAGACACAAGGCTTTGGGAGTCATCCGGCCTATTCACTGTTACAACAAGCGGGAGGGTGGCGTGACGTAGTAGGTCACGTGGGCCTCGCCTATATAACAGAGTGTACAGAGCCAGTGGGTGGGTTCTGGAGAAAGTGGGAGTGCACAAAACTTGGCGCCACGACGGTGCATATGCGAGCCAGGCTCGCGAGGCTCGAGTCACTAGCTGACGAAGCCTGCGGACTTTATGTCCTTGGGTGACTGCGGTCACGGGGGAGCGATGCTGTGTGCGTGCTCCGAGGTGAAGAGTGGTTGAGTGCCACGATTCACGCCGATTCTCAATCGGATAAGATCGCTCTTGCGATCGAGGCAAACCAGCCGTTGGTGCGCCAGAACGGACTTTGTGTCCCAGCGTGACATCCGGTCACGGAAGCTAGGCTTTGTGCGCGCTTCAAAAGTAGGACTGGCGAATGCCACAATCAAAACCATCTTCAATTGGGTTTGGATCGCTCCCGCGATCAGGGGATAGTAGGTCTATCAGAGCTAGGGTGTAAGTAGATTATTAAGTGTATATATTTGTTTTGTTTTCTTGTTAATAAATATATTTGTTATATGAAAGCTCTGTGTCTGTGGTCGCTGTGAGTATCCATGACGTCACATAAGTTAACTGTACTCATGGGACTAAATACCGCAACCTTTGATGCATCGGGAAACAATAACTATTAGCAGACCTACAAATGTTATTAGTGTTATTACTGCCAATGCCAAAAGTTAAAAATCGAGGTGGAGCGTAGCGGAGCCAAGTTTTTAATTTGGATAAGGTTTTTAGTTTGGACAACATGTAGATCCTGTTGTTGCGGCACGATAATCGATATTGTTGGGTATGGCAAACAAAATTACAATCGACCAGGAAAGTGGGGCGTCGACTTCCAGAGGCGACACCACATCGTCAATAAATATTACTGAAGAAGAAATCCATTTTGTCAAGTGCAACGAAAATAATGCTCATTTACCAAATATTTATTTTTCAAACTGCAACATTATAATTAATAATATTAGAATTAATAATGAACATCCCTAAAAATAATAAGTTTCTTTAATTACTATTTGTCTTGTAAATTATCATGTGATTTTTTCATAATGTTGGTTTACGATGAATGGGTGGTTGTTTATTTAGGTTACTAAGGATGTTGAAACCCGTTGCTAAGGATTTTAAATTTCTTAATCTACAGGTAGATACAAGTGCACATAACAAACTTTGGGGGTTGCAGTGTTAACAAGGGTTAAAGACGCATGTGACCGATAAAATAAATAATCATTGAATCAATGGAAAAAACAAATTCGAAAATATTGCTTTAACACAGGTCGACATACAAGATGCGCTAAGCGAGGTTCGAAAAGGGCAAAGAATACTTACGTGACTAGAACAATCCTCATCAAAAAGTTGTATTGCGAGCAATGAGCCATTACCATTCGAATCAGGAGGCGTGTCGAATGGCGCAGTTTCAGGCAAGACATTGCGCAACTTGTATATCGTACGAAAAAGAAGCAAATGGCTGTGGCACTAATAGTCCGGTGATATTTAAAGCTGAATGGGAACAATTGTATTTAATTTTTTTAAATTGCAATGCAGGCCTAGACTGTAAAGTATTTGCACAGACATTACAGTGTTAATTGGTAAAGAAGTTAAATCCAGAGAAACATTATTTGGAAGGTGATGCATGGCGGGTCGGAAAATTCACAATTCCATAATTTACGGGTAAACAATCATGCGTCAGCGGGACTCGAACCCGCGAGTTCTCTGACGGAGGTCGCCCCAGCTCACCTGCTTTAGCGATCCCAGACGTCAGACATTAAATGTGAGTTATCACTTAGCTCTTCTACCACCTTTTTTCTCACTTTACGAAGCACATTGCGCAAAAAAGGAAGCAATAGATATACATAGACATAAGCGTCAAAAGATAGCCATATCACTGTGTCTATCCAATCTTAACAATTTCTTCCTCTTCCTTGTCATATTCTCTCCCTTTACATACACACACGTACACTTACATGCACTACACTACACTTACACTTACACCACCATATCGGGAGACCAGTAGGGACTTAAAACTTCTCTCGATTGTGAGGTGCCTCGCTGGTAGGTGATAAATGGATGGGGAAACCCTGCGAGCCAACGTGTAGTCAGCGCCGCATCTCGCCATTCTGCGAGGGAAGAACACAAACCGCCATCTTGGGGTATAAAACACGCACTACACTTACGGGACTAACAAATGTACTTGTTGACACGCCCGAAAACACGAAATAATCAATCAATTATCATTGAAGTTCGACCTTCTCCTAATAATTTGGTGATGGCATCGCCAACCTTAGTCGTTCAGGTACCCTCAAGCCACATTCTTCATAATTATCATGTGCATCAAGCCTATAAGGTAGAAAGAGATATTCAAATTGCAGCATAAGCAAATTACATTTTGAATAATTGATGGAATAAAGTGAGATTCCGTTTCAAATAGACTATTCGGCATTTCGTCTGTTTCTAAATCGGTTTATTAAGCCGTCACTTCCGACCGTGTTGTTTGATTTTTCTGCGAATTTGGTGGGAACGTGTCTTCAAAAAATTCATTAAAATTTACATTGGCAAATATATTTACTTTTTGATATAGTTTCGAAATGGTGTTTTTATTGAATCGGTCTCGTGTAATGTTCAATGTTGTTCAATCAGAGTAGCAAAATGAAGTTCGATCGTTCACTATTTCGTCTGTTAGTATACTTTTCGTGATGCAGTCACGAGCAAAGGCGTTGTTTTATTGGTTAAACGTTTATAGACTGCGATGAAGAGCAGGTTGTTCATTCTTTTGGACACGAACTACTAATATCTATTATTTTTGTAATCAGACAAAACATTGAGCAGACCGCTCGGTATATTATGCATTTAGTACGTCATTTATTACAAATATAAGTTCCTGAATACGTTTATTCGTTACCTGCATCTATGTGATAGGACGAGATGTTTAAAACATTAATAAGTCTATAATTTTAATCTTCCCAACCCTGGCATTCACCCCAAATGATTTCTTAATTGCATCAAAGCCGCGGAAAATAAACCATATGGTACAACTGATGAAAATGAAAGCCAGGCGCGGACGTCACTTGCCGCGAGCGATCGAAGTAGCTTCGGTTCCGCGGCCACAGCTCAATTCCTGGAGCGTTTTAGGACGCGCGCTTGTCGCACAAGTCTTTGGTCTCGTTCGTGTCTTTCTCTGCCGAACACTTCTGCCTCCACTCGCTCCCCGTGCGTTTTTTCAAACGCGTCCGCCTCCACTCGCTCCCCGTATGCTTCTGTTCTGCTGAGAGCGTAGGCTTCCGCGGCCGGAGTCAGTATTTACTAGGCTGTCCGGGTGACGCCGCGTCCATAGCGAAGGTGCCGGCGTTTCGGTAGCCATTCTGCGACTTTCCTCAGGGCGAAATGCAGGCGAAATTAGGCATTTCGCCCTGAGGAAGGTCGCAAAATGGCGACCGAAACGTCGGCACCTTCGCCATGGACGCGGCGTCACCCGGACAGCCTAGTAAGTACTTCTGTTCTGCTTCTGTCCCTTCGTCTCCGTGTTCACCTCGGCACGCGTCTGCCCCCCTCTCGTCACGTGTTCAGTCTAGTCAGTCTGATTGGTTCTGTGTCGAGTGATATCGTCGTGATTCGTCCGTTTGGCCACGTGTACGGTGAATCCAGGATTTTTATAGTACATCTCAGCTATCGTGGTTTCCCTGCCCGTATATCTTGTCATCCAAGGGGAATTCCGAAGTAGTTTGTTGCTGTCACAGACGGGGAAGTCCCTTCTCTTATACAGTCTGTGTCAGAGTCGATAGATCCTCGTGGTGAGACGTCTCCTGTCTTGTGCGAATGTCCTACTTGGATGTCTCGTCACACTATCTGTTGAAAGCCTTAAAAAACGTTTCTAATATAGGAAGGATCGTCTAGCTAAAGAGGAATAAGATGTGGTTTCGTGATACTTCACTCGAAATCTAGCTCTATATCGGAGATGACTGCAGATCTTCCAAAAATACTTCTGTAATGTAGAAGATTGGCAACAGAAAAATAAAAAATTAGTAGTAAAATAAATTATTGAAAATGACTTTAAGTGTTTTTTAATAAATTTATTGTAGAAAAATACACGTATAAAATACCTAAACATAAATTGATATATTACATTCAAATGACACTCTGATATACGTATTAAATTGAATTTTTTTACATGTCTAATTGTCTCAACCCTTTTTTATTTCTTGGAATATGTTTTAAAGGAAAAGCGACAGAATAAATGTCTAGGTAATTATTATTTTTAAGGTTCTTCTGATGAGTTTGCGAATAACGAGGATATTCAAGCGCACGTTGTTAGGACAACTGATCTCTGGTATTGGATGACGTTCTCTCGCGTCGAGGTCCTCAACATCAGCACGTCTTCCTAATGACACACGAATAGAATTCATGCAGATTGAATTGACATAATTTTTGCACAAAATTTGTTAAGGTGGGTGAGGTTCTCCATTTACAATATTGAAGCTAATGACGTGCAGAGTGTAGCAGAGTGGATGTATTCATTGCAGGACAGAGCTGGAGGTGGGGCCCGTGACGGAAGCCCTTCGCCCCTCCCACTCGTCCTCCGCATCCCCCTCCCTCTCTTCCTCCGCACCCGGCTCCGGAATGAGCTGCTGACGGCGATCGCCAGGGGGCCCTACAAAAAACAATAGAAAACAATGAGATGGGGGCGGCAATAAATGGAGAGTGAACAGTGGTGAAGAATAATTTTAGTGAAAGTTCAAAATTTATATTCGTTTTATATTGCTTATTTAGCGCTGCATCTGATATTATTTAAATGCAGTGCCATTTTTAAAAAAATGTGTTGAAAAAAAGTAATATTAATTTGTTTGGTGAAAATTATTTCAAGTTCATTGATTTTCGTTTGGGTCTTAGGTAGTTTTAGCAAAGTATGAGTGATTATTGTAAAAGTGAGAATTTTGAGAAATGCTTTATGCACTTGTCTTTGTCATTGAGAAAAATATCAAATGAAATTATAAGAGGGAGTAAGAACTAATTTACTCCCCTGTGGTAACGAATTCAATTGAAGTGGTTCCAGTGTATTGTGAACGAGTTGTCGACATTTGAAGAAGACAAGATCATCATGTTTTATGAAAATACTTCACGCGTGTGAAAAGCCAAGAGAAATTTGCATGTGAGATAATATAAATAGATTAGAGTTGTTTTAGCTTTAGCAACCTTCAATACGACGTTGATTTCAACATTGTGGTTCTTTCACGTTCTAATAATTCATTAATTATTGCTACAATGGAAATATTTCTCACTAAATAAATATTGCATGACAGGAGATTCTGAATGAAATATTACTCATATTGTGATTATATATGATTTCTAGTCATTGAGTTAATATTGAAAGAGCTTTTATTGATTCAATTTATTTTACAGGAATAAATAGATTCACAGATTAATGAATTAGTGTTTTTACTATTAATAAAAATAAGCATGACTTCAAATATTCAGGAGTGTAGGAAGGAGACAAGTATATATTGCGGCCTCAGAATAACTATGCTCCATGTGACATTTTCAGTGAAAATTATATTTTCTCATGTTAAAACTTTGTTATGTATACAACATACTACGAGTTTCAAAATCAGACTTGTAGAAAGCCTCCTACGAACAAAATAACTTTGTACCATTTGCATTTTCACGTATATTTTTGCCACTTCAAATCTTTCAAAATGTCGGGAAAAAACTTGATGTCAGATAGAGAAACTTGTACTTCTGAGGCCGAGGGCAGTCCACCAGATACAATGTGAGAATAAATCTCGATTTCTGTGGCGTATTCAGTGGTTTCTACGAACGACGTGCTCTCGAGTAATGTGAAAAACAACTGCGCAGCGGTGTGCAGAGAAGGCAGGAGGAGAACTCACTGCGCGGCCGCCACTGCAGCCACCAGACGAGCAGAGCGCCGGCCACGAGCAGCGCCACTAACAGCGCGACCGTCACCGCCGCTTCCACCGTCCTGCAAACAACAGCGCGTTGTCGATGCAGTTGGCAAAAACATTTTGGTCGTTTTAGGCGCCACTGTTGATAATGGTCGGAGGAGCTAATCTTTTTGACTTTTTTCGGTACCATTGACCTTAAATTCTTGGCTATCCAGGAGACGCCGCGTCGTTGGCTGAGAGGCCGACGCGGCGTCTCCTGGATAGCCAAGAATTTATGGAATCGAGCCGCGGAAGTTTACGTCTGTACCAATGACCCACAAAATGCGTATGCATGTGAAAATCTTATAAGAGGTTGTTTTTTTTTGCATTCACATACATGTACATTCACTATATTACGTACAAGAAATTAAATATAACTAATTGTAAGAAAATATGCCTTATTATGCAATCTTGTAAGATGATTTTAAATTATTCCCGTAAAATAGACGGCGTAGATTCTTTGTTTGCACTGTTCACAAAGAATGTTGGAAGAACCACTAAAATAGTTTTTTTAAAACATGAGCAAGTCGTATTTATATGTTTTTTTTCAAATATTGGTATGACCTGAAACAAAACAAATATATTGATTCTCACCCTCAATTTTCATATTTAACTCTTTAAGTGGATATTTCAACCTTCCAAACAAGGAAATACGTCCTTCTTTTCAAGTTCTGTAAACATTTTCCCTTTTGTAACCACGTGACCTTAATTTTGGCCTCAGTCAAGCAAACATATTCGTTAACTTCTCTAGAACCCCTTCAGCAGTGCTTCAAGTGGCGCTGCTGCTGGCAAAATATTGGTTTAAATGAAGGTTGTAACACGAGCGGTGTAGTGGCGCCGGTATGGCGGTTGGTAACGCTACCTGTTCTAAATTTTCTAAATTTGCATAGTTTTTTTTTTTTTTCGGCGTCTACAGTATTGAAGTAGAGATTGCTTTCTTAAAGAAAACTGTTCTTTAAAATGAAATATTTAATGAAGGTCAAGTACAGTATTTTTCATAATTGTGCAAGGGCACTTTTTGCGCAATTTTGCATAGAATAAAGCAATTTTAAAAAACGTTACAAATACTGCGAGAAAGTATGTGCAGTTGAAGCTCTACTAGTTTTACATAAATATCTCGTTCGATTACTTGTCCATTTCCCAGGTAACTAATCGGAAAGTTTGTGCGGGTGCCATGCTGTTAACGGTCTCTAATGGAAGTATCTTTATGCGCTCAGAGTTGGAAGCCACGTTGTCGTCTCCTGCATCCCTTGCTCGTGCCAGTAGAACCTTACGACACCTATTTTTTCTTATAACTTTTATGCTTATAATTTGTCATTCCGCTTATTTTCGAGCCGGGTGAGTTCTCATACTCTGAATGTGACTACTTAGGACACAGCTGCCGTCATGCGACAGCTAAGCTCCAAGGAAGAGGCCGCCTCCAGTTAAGTATTTGCTATTCAAGAGTTGCTTTGTAGAGCAGAGTCATTTTTTATATTCTAGGTATGAGACGAACCGTATACTGTATTGAAACCGAATAGGATTAGCTCTAATATAAATTAAAATAACTCAAATAGAATTTATACTTTGTCTCACGTTGGGAACGCCAACTATTATGTAATTCGAATTAGCTCATAACTAATTACTTTAATAAAATAGGTATTTCCCAACGTTTTAGAATTAATCCGCCGTTTTTAATCAAATTTGCTCGAGGGTGTGAAGCCACCCCATACGGGAAACGAAATGCGTATCATCGGTTTGGGAATTGTAAACTTCGTTTGCTCCTCTCTTGTTGCCGCAAATACCGGTGCCACTCCGTTTATTTCTGTACCAAATTTTGCTACCTCGCTTCACTAGCGCTTCCACTGGCTAACACATAACACATTAAAGAGAATATTAACACTGATGAAATATTCCTTTTCTTGAAAACAATAACACAACGCATTCACATACGGAAAGATGCAAAGAAAAATCATTCGCACAAGCGCACATTCCCTTTCTTTTTTATGGCCATTTACTTTTAAAAGTTAACATTCTATCATCTACGAAACATTCTTGGCCTTCTCATATTCCTATGTTGAAATAAAAATTTAAATGTCCCCTTTCCTGACGTCGGTCGCTGCCGGTTCCACCAGAAACTCAGCCCACGCTTCGCCGATCTCCGTAATGGCCATCTTTCCATTTTTAAATCCACTTTTCGTCCGTACTTGTATTTCCACTTATCACTCAAAAATAACACATTGCATTTATCAACATCAAATCAACTTGGCTTCCATCCGCGATGTGGCCCGCACTGACAACTATGTTCGCGTTTCTGTGTCCTTCCTAATGTTCAAGAAACAGTTGCCATCAATCTGGCTCGTTCCTCATTTACTTTTAGAATATACTTACACCTTTTCTTTTAAATTTTCTCAAACTCGATCCCGCTTCCTTACATAAGTAAATCCGATATTCTTTTGGTTCTTTTTTTCTATATTCTATTATCTTTTGGTCCCGTGTTTGGTTATTCGACACTGTTACTTCCATGATAATTTCGTTTTGTAGTGTTCGATTTTTTCATTACATTACGAACATTATGATTCCTTTTGATTTTCTTAAAAATTTTCGTATGAATATTCGCCACCCTAAACTCCCCCTTCTTTCTTTCTTTCTTTATTTATTTATTCCGATCTGTCTGTTGTTCTACAGTTTCTCAGCGGCGTAATAAATAACTAAACATGACTCCTTCAAATTCCGTCATATGTTTAGGCAAAGTCGTAGGCAAAAATTTCGCTTTTGGGTCGATTAAAACACATTCAAATTACTGTTGTCGAGTGCGTCCGGATCGCCACAGTATGTTCAGCTGCATTTTTGCTGCTATAGAATACTAAATATCCTGTTGCACAGTTTGTTCTTTATTTTCAACGTTTTCGTCAAACATTCTTTTTACTGGTGAGATAATAAATTGATATTTAATTTTAAATTGTGATGATTATTTCAATAGTATTTCCGATGTAATTCCAGTGTCAAATCTTAAGAAAAATTCTCACAGTTAATAAAGAATCTATCTGAATAAAGAATCAGAAATTAATCAGTTCTTTTGAAAATCCAATCTAATATATCGATTTTGATATTGGAAAATCTCGGGTTTTAAAGCTGGATTGAATCTTCAACACTATACTTTGAAACCGCCTGCTTTTCTCTTACCAGTCGACTTGTTCCTCTCATAGCGCTTATCGGCCAGAACTAACGAGCGGAAATCGTCGATAGAATGTGTACGGAGTGCTTACAGCGCTGTACTTAATGATAACTTCGAATTCCACTAATGTAACATGCAATTTTCAACGGTCAATTTACAATGTCCACTTTGCATGATTTAGTGCACACATTCACTACAACGTGGTACAGAATCAGAAGCTAATATAATAAAAATATTTATGAAAATGCATTTATATTCGAATTATTTGAACCATATAGTCGAAATGGAAAAGATATACTCACAATTCAGGTAAAGGGTCGCAGCATCCTAGTTTACAGCATATCTTCTTGGGCGGGCACTTGTAGGAACTGTGGGTTTTATTTCCAGGACATGTCACTGCGGATCAGTATAGCGTTGGAATAATTTTTGTAATTTAGAGACTAAAAGATAATAGTTCTCTAGTGTGATGTGCAAAGCAATTGATTTTTTAATTAGCTTTCTCGAAAACAGGAAATTAATTAGTTGTTTGTAGAAGGAAAGAGGAATATTCGTATA